ATTATGCTGCCTTAGTTCGTATCCTTCGTTATCTCAAAGGTACCTTGTTTCATGGACTTCATTATTCCGTTCGCTCCTCTCTCCAGCTTCGTGCTTTTTCTGATGCTGATTGGGCTGGGGATCCTACTGACCGGCGCTCTACTACCGGGTTCTGTTTTTTCTTGGGTGATTCTCTTATTTCTTGGCGCAGCAAGAAACAATCTCTTACTGCTCGCTCCAGTACTGAGGCTGAATATCGTGCTCTTGCTGATACTACTCAGGAACTTCTCTGGCTTCGTTGGCTTCTTGCTGACATGGGTGTTTCCCCCTCTGGCGCTACTGCCCTCTTTTGTGACAATCAAAGTGCTCTTCAAATTGCTCACAATGATGTTTTTCATGATCGCACCAAGCACATTGAGATTGACTGTCATTTTGTTCGTCAACACGTCACTCATGGTACTGTCCATCTCCATCCCATCTCCTCTGCTGATCAACCTGCTGATATCTTCACAAAAGCCCATTCTCCTGGCCGCTTCGTTGAACTTGTCTCCAAACTCCAATTGGTTGATGTTTGTCCTCCTTGAGTTTGAGGGGGGATGTTGATATATAAATATAATTGTATATAATTGTATATGAATACAATATAAGTCATTAATATATTATAGTGACAGCAGAGGATTCCCTTTCGGTGGTGCGCCATCTTTCGGCCACTTTTTTCCTTATTATATTCTATGGTATCATCATCATGTTTGTGTAACAAACTCCTATATTAAGGAGCCTCGCAGCAAGAATTCAATATAGAGTTTACATTACAATTCTCTTTCAATATTACTCTCTCAATATTTTGTCTTTCAATATTTGTCTTTCATTCATAGAAATGCAAAAAATATTTCACTGCGTAGTACTATTTAGGCCGATTCCATGGCTCAAATCCACAAAGACGTTGGGTTGTAATTGGTTATAAGTTTGTGGCCCCACACCCCCAATCAGTACAACCGACGACCTTTGGAAGTTGGACGCTACCATTTTTATCTAGCTACTTGCTATGGTATAACTTTAATAAGGAGATTTGGAAAAGAAATGAAAAATGTGTTTGAAATTAGATAAAATGTAAATATATTTTAGTTATATCTTATTTATCTTTGTCCTTTCTTTTTTCAAATCTCATCCTAAATTCCTCAACTAAACACAATGTAAGAATTTTAAACCTGGCTCATCTTCGGTCGCCTTCTAGCAGAATGACGGATGCTAGCAGAAGCACAGGCCACCATGCGTGCCATTTCTTGAGGGACGAAGTTATTTTCCAGGCGCGGATCCACTAGCTCGTCATAGATTCCATCTTCCAATGCTTGTTCCATACGTGGCCTAGCCTGTTTTTCAAATGCATGCCCATACAAAAATCAAATTGAGGAAGATCGTGAAGAAAATGCAAAACAAAACAACAATCCTTCTTGTTCTTGACAACATTTGTTTTTTAAACATACCCAGTCCACTAAACTGTCCTCCATGTATCTACTGTTAGGATCCACTGGTCGCCGAGCAGTTATGATTTCCAAAAGCATTACTCCAAAGGAGAAAACATCAGATTTCTCGGTTAGCTTGCCGCTTGATGCATACTCTGGAGCCAAGTACCTGTATTCGAAATAGAAAATTTTGGAATCATTTAGCTTATCATCAATTTCAATTCTTTTGACATGTAAAGAAGATGGTGTCTAAGGCACTAATGTGATCATCAAGGCAAGGTTTAAATGTTTATTTATGAGGACAAAAGTTCTAGGAATGACAAAATTTATTTCCAGCTAAAAAAAAATTAAAATCCATTTTTTGAATTGAAAATGCGAATAGGCTAAAAATCTAAAAAATTGTATCAAACTTGTCAAGGACTATAAGAAGCATGTGGAATCTTTGCGATGTGGTATAGAGCATTACATTAACAAGAAATGTGACTTCAATATCATCATCTAAATCTCCAAAATGTCTTCTTTTTTGATTTTTTGCAGTTCAATTTTACTTGATCTTTAACAAATTTTATGTGCTCAAACCATAATCAAAATGAAGATACAATAATGACTTACCCAAAAGTTCCCATCACACGTGTAGAGACATGAGTGAAATTGTCAGAAGAGAGTTTTGCTAATCCAAAATCTGCTACCTGAATAGAAAGTATTGTGGCATAATCAAGTAACAGGATATGTATTATCGTTTTTGAATTATAACAACATGAAGTTTAATGACTCTATAACTATGAATGTAAAACATAAATTACCATGGCTTCAAAGTTATTGTCAATAAGAATGTTAGCAGTTTTGATGTCACGATGGATAATCCGAGGGTGGCCTGCATGCGTTCAACAAGTCAAATATATATACAAGATGGTGTGTACACCTGATAGACATGCTATAAGATAATCGAGGAAAAATAAATCTGAAAAAGTTATTGAAATTTGAAATCAAAATCTGAGATAGTTGGGGCAACTTGGGAATGAAAAAAAGCGTGACAACAATAAGAAAAAAAAAAAATCCCTAATGGAGTTGGGCCTTTTCTCTCAAATTTGTGAAAGGAAGGAAAGGCAAAAGGAGAAAATCTTTTCGAACATTGAGGCTTCAATTATCCTGGATTCTCAATCTTCTATCTCCTCCCATGCAATCCATAATTACAATATTTGGGCTCGAGAGAGAGAGAGAGCCAGAGCACGATTCTCAAGTTCTGCTGCTGGAGCAATTAGATCATGCTCTTAGAACCGAAAAGGCCTTGGGCATTGATATTAATGGAAACAAAGAAGTTTTCTTGAGGGATATTGTTGAACTTGAGACTTGAGTAGAAAAATAAAACAAGGTTTAAGAAGAACAGTTGGCAAAAGGGATAAAGCTATTTCTATGCGTAATGAGATTTTCTGATCAGGAGAAAGGTTCTTTCATTGGGTGCAATCTGTTTCGAAATTGCAAACCATTTTCGGCTCCTCTGTCATTGATACGAATTGTTTGGTTGCTGCTCCATTCTCGATGTGATGGGCTAGTTTTTAATGCTGTGTTTGGTTGGGGATTCGGAAAAAGATTTCTAAAGGAAACGAGAAAAGATATATGAAGTGTAAATAAATAATATCTATATTTCACCTACTTTTTTTATTTTCTTTTCCAAATCTCATCTCAAATTCTCTAACTAAACACAACGCAAAGGCTTTTGTCTTGTTTTGTTGATTGCTAACTTTATGATTAGTTTGTGGGCTTGATGTTCTTCCCTTGCTGCATCTCGTGTATTTTTGGTGTTGGGTGATGCTCATTCTTTTTGGCTGTTTGAGGATATCCTTTGAGTTTTTGTTGGTTGATGCTCTGTTTTGGGGTGGGTGCTGGTTTCTTTAGTTAGTTTCTATAATTGGTAATTGTTGACTCTGTATCTTTTATTTAAGTTAAGTTTGGCATCTTTAAAAAAAATCAAAAAGTTAAAAAGTTATTATTCTATTTAAGTCACATTATTTTATTAAGTCACAACACTTCTCTACCACATTACTTCAAATTTAACCCATATTTTATAAAAAGTCAAAAAATACGCGCATTTATAACATCCTAAACAATCTCTTAGTTTGGTGTTTTGCCTTTGTCTTCATGTAGGTGGTTTGTCGTCTTTGGGTCTTGCCATCTTGGCTTGGAATTTATTTTTGATTGGCTTGTTGTGTATGCCAGTTTTGTTGGTGCTTTTGTCTTGAACTATTCTTCTTAATGTAATTTGATTGTTCTGGTTATGTTTTTTTTATTCATCAATATATCTTTTATTTTGCTAATCAAGAAAAAAAAGAGTTCACATAAACTATGTTATACACTTTGTAATAGAACTAGAAGTGTACATGCACTACTGTGTACAAAAAATTGTGAGTAGGAGTGAAGAGAGAGTTGTGTATAGCAGATAGCAATTATTAATTTAGTAATTTTCTTTTTGATCCTTGTAGTAATGGGTAGATAAGTTAAAATTTAGGAGAAATATTGTGATTTTTTTAAGATTTAAAATTGCGTCACAAATTATTCACACTAAAAGTAAATAGTGTAATTTACATAATAGTATATATACACTAGAGGGTGTGCACACCTATATGAGTGTACTTGAAATTAAAGGTTATAGATCTATAGATATAATTGAATTTAGCTGACAGTTAGAGAATGATATTTTTAAAAAGTAAAAACTGTAACATCTACACCAAATCCAATGTTTGCTTTATATATTAACTATAGTGTGCAACTGAAAAAAAATCATGGGCGTGCATTGGAGACAATTGAGAGATTTTTTTTTTCTTTTTAAATTTTTTAGAAAAAAAAAAGGCATAATTGTTATTGTAACTCCTCTTATTTTTATTCACTCTATAAGAAATTGGGAGAGATTGAGAGAGCAAATTAGCTCTGTGTTTTATATATCATACAAGAGACTGAGCTCTCTCTATTTATAGAGAGGAGAAGGTAACCGAAAGTGTATATTACAATACATTAAACTATTGCTAAAGCTTTCTTGTATGCTGGTGTGTGCTAGTGGGTGTGTGCTGGTGTGTGCCTTACAGTGTGTATTGTATTGTATAACATGTGATGCTAGTGGGAGGTGAAACATAGTGCAGGTTGCATGTAGACCTCCTCAAGAAGAACACCATTAAGAAATGCATTTTTCACATCCATTTGATAAAGATCCCAGTGTCGGGTAGTAGCAACTGCAATGAGGCTGCGAACAGAGGTGAGACGAGCAACAGGAGCAAAGGTCTCCTCATAGTCAATACCATATTCTTGATTGAAGCCTTTAGCAACAAGGCGAGCTTTATAGCGCTCAATAGAGCCATCAGAACAGGTTTTGATTTTGTATACCCATTTACAGCCAATGGCAGTCTTGCTAGGAGGAAGATCAACAATGTCCCAAGTGTAAGTTTGGTCTAAAGCCTGTAATTCATCAGTCATAGCTTGCTGCCAAAGAGGATTAGAGCGAGCCTCCCGATAGGAGGTGGGTTCATAAGTAGAAAAAGCAGTAGAACCAACAATAAAGTCACGAAAATGAGTAGAAGGTTGGATTACCCGGTGTGGCCGAGCAGGAGGAGGAGGAGCCAGAGGAAGAGACTCAACAGGGGGTGAGGAGTCCGAGGGAGCAAGATCAGGACCATCAGAGCTGGCAGGTGCTTGAGAAAGACCAGTAGGCAAGGCAGTCTCAAGAGAGTCAGGCATGGGCAGTGGAGGAAGCTCATCAGAAAACAGATCTGCAGAAAGGTTAGTAAAACACAGAGAGGGTGAGGGAACGGATAAACGGAATTGAGAGAGGGAGGAAAACATTGTGTGTTCCCAAAAGACCACATGACGAGAGATACGGAGACGCTGGGAGAGAGGATCCCAACAGCGATACCCTTTATGTTCAATACCATACCCCAAGAAGCAACAAAAGCGAGAACGAGGTTCAAGTTTGGTACGTTCATGAGGTTGGAGAAGAACAAAACAGGCAGAGCCAAAAACCCTAAGGGTGTCGTAAGGGGGACGGGTGCCATGTAAACGCTCATATGGAGTGTGATTATGAATGACTAGTGTAGGGATACAATTGATAGTGTAAGCAGCAGTGAGAGCGGCTTCACCCCAAAAATTTTCTGGACAAGAGGAAGAGAGAAGGAGGGCTCGAGTAGTGTCAAGTAGATGCCGATGTTTTCGTTTAGCACGGCCATTTTGTTGGGACGTACCTGGACAGGAACGATGAGGTTGAGTACCATGACTCCTAAGGAAGGAAAGAAAGTCAAAATCTTTATATTCCATGGCATTGTCGGAGCGAAAAATCTTGATAGTTTTAGAAAATTGGGTTTTAACCATTGCAGCAAAATTGTAATATAGTTGTTTGAGTTCAAAGCGATTTTTCATAAGAAACAACCATGTAAAACGAGAAAAATCATCTATAAAAACAACAAAATAACGTGCGCCTCCCATAGTAGGAGTAGGAGAGGGTCCCCAAATATCAGAATGAATGAGATCAAAGGGCGCAAGAGAAACAGAATCACTTTTATTAAACGACAAAGCATGTTGTTTTGCAAGTTGACAGGACACACAATTGAAAGCATCAGAACTTACAGTACCCAAATGACCACTAGAAATTAAAGACTTCAAACGACCAACAGAAAGATGGCCCAAACGATAGTGCCAAAGCTGAAAATGAGATAAAGGAGGAGCAGTGGTAGCAGTGGTAGGAGCAGTGATTTGAGAGGAATCCGGAACATGAAGATGGATAAGTTCGTAGAGACGTCCTTGCTTACGGCCTATCCCAAGAGTTTGCCTGGTCCGAGGGTCCTGCACCAAACAACCAGTATGGGAAAAGGTAACAGTTAGACCATGCTCACATAATTGACTAATGGAGATAAGATTTAAAGTGAGAGCAGACATAAGATATACATGGGATAAAGACAAGTGAGAGGTGGAAACAGACCCAACATGACTTACAGACAGGAGAGACCCATCAGTAGTATGGATAGAAGGAACATGAGGAGTCGAAGAGAGAGGAGTAAAAATAGTAGGATCAAAGGTCATGTGATTACAACAAGCGGAGTCAAAGTACCAGGAAGTGTTGCCTGCGGTGGTAGACAAAGCAGTAGATGGAGGAGTACCGGAATGCTGCCAAAAATGTTGAAACATGGCTTCAACATCGGTATGAGAGAAGACCAGAGTGGAAGGATCTACAGGGACAGAAGAAGGTGAAGCTTCAGAGGCGGCAGCAGCAGTGCGTGGAGCAGGCATGTTTTTAAATAGAGTCCCAGAACGGTGAGAGTTGCTGCGAGAAAGATTCCCGGTGGAAGGACCATGGCGAGAGGCACGGGTAGGATTGCGGAAGCAATCTTGTTGGAGATGACCGGGGCCAGTCTTGTTGCAAAATCGACAAAGACGAACGGGACAATGAACCAGAAGATGAGTCGATGGAAGATTGCGGTTGTGACAATAGTTACAGGTAGTGGACCGCTGTGGTGAAGGAGAACTCCGAATCTGGGGAGTAGCAAGAACAGAGTCCACAGGGTGTGGATGGAGAGTACCAAACCTGGTTTCCTCAGACAGGAGTTCAGAAACGGCTTGCTCAAGAGTGGGTAAAGGAGTGCGATGTAGGAGAGATGCGCGGACGGGCTCAAAACGAGGAGTGAGAGCCATGAGAAACTGAACCAAGCGCTGTTGGTCACGGTAGGTAGTAAACAAGGCAGCATCCTCAGTATGAGGCCATAGAGACTCAGAAAGAGCGAGTTGATCCCAAACATAATACATTTGGGAGAGGAAATCATTAATGGTCTGAGTGTTTTCTTGGCGCATACGGTGAAGATGACTCAGAAGCTGATATTGGTGAGCAAGACCGGAGTCCGTGGCAGCGGATTCCGTGGTTGCTGGGACTGGTTTGCACACATCCCCAGTAATGATACGCCAAAGTTTCTTGCCTTTGAGGAAGCCAGACATGGCTTGTGCCCAAAGGACATAATTAGTCCCGTCAAGAATAACGGAAATAGGGTGATTAGAGGAATCCGGGCGATCCATGAGGGAAAAATAGCACAATGGTGGTAGAATCTGAAAAAACCGAGGTTACCAGTGAATTCAGAAGGCCGAAATTAGTGGGAAAAGGAGTGAAACGACCCAAAATATGACTACAGAGGCACAAAAATGAGAGGCAAAGGGGCGCGGCGCACGTTAGCAAGAAAGGGCGCGGCGCACGTTAGCAAAACAGGCCAGGCAGTGCACGGTAGCAGAAAGGCTGACGTGTGCTGACGTCAGAAACACGCGGCGCACGTTAGCAAGATAGTGCGCAGTGCACGTTAGCACGGGACAGTGTGGAGGACGCGTAGAGCGCGTGTGAGGCGGAAGGCGGAGGCAGGCGACGCGCCGTTCACAGAAGTGGCGCGTGAGAGCGCGTGTAACGTCTGATTGGACTGAAATTGGTGGCGTTGGAATCGTCCGGAGGAGACGAAGGCTCGGGTGTGGTGAAAACTGTATTTCAGAGATGGACGAAAAAGGGATACAGATGAAATGCAATCTGCAGAAAAAAAAATATGTTGGAATAAGAGGCTAGGCAGAAAACCTGTGCTCTGATACCATATAAGAAATTGAGAGAGCAAATTAGCTCTGTGTTTTATATATCATACAAGAGACTGAGCTCTCTCTATTTATAGAGAGGAGAAGGTGGCCGAAAGTGTATATTACAATACATTAAACTATTGCTAAAGCTTTCTTGTGTGCTGGTGTGTGCTAGTGGGTGTGTGCTGGTATGTGCTTTACAGTGTGATCCGAACATGTGATGCTAGTGGGTGTGTGCTGGTGTGTGCTTTACAGTGTGTATTGGGTGTGTATTGTATGTATCTACTATTAACATATATATATAATATACATTGAGAGCCCTACAAATATAAAATTTGAATCGTTAAAGCAATATCCATAATAAATGTCATCGACCTTTCAAATTCTCTTAAGTTCACATGTGAACAGTAGAGAATGTACACTTTTAATTCTACCACTCATCTAATTTGGAGAAGTTATTGATTAGTTCAGAGACAACGTCACATAACGCTCTATATATATATATATTGTGGTTGATAGAATGAATATGACCCATAATTTTATATTAAAATAATTAAAAAATATAAAAATTTATGGCTCAAAAAAGATAGGACGATATAGTATCACATAATCAACCAATCACTTTCCCCTAATATGAGATTATTTATCACAACCCGCATTTTTTTTTTAGATAGAAAATTATTGGATACTTTCACCCCAAAAAAAAGTTGGCATTGTGGTAGGCCCGTCATTATTATAAGAAATTGAGAGAGATTGAGAGAGCAAATTAGCTCTGTGTTTTATATATCATACAAGAGACTGAGCTCTCTCTATTTATAGAGAGGAGAAGGTGACCGAAAGTGTATATTACAATACATTAAACTATTGCTAAAGCTTTCTTGTGTGCTGGTGTGTGCTAGTGGGTGTGTGCTGGTGTGTGCTTTACAGTGTGTATTGTATTGTATAACATGTGATGCTAGTGAGTGTGTATTGTATTTATCTACTATTAACACACACTAAAAGTAAATAGTGTAATTTACATAATAGTATATATATACTAGAGGGTGTGCACACCTATATGAGTGTACTTGAAATTAAAAGTTATAGATCTATAGGTATAATTGAATTTAACAGCTACAGTGACAGTTAGAGAATGATATTTTTAAAAAGTAAAAACTGTAACATCTACACCAAATCCAATGTTTGCTTTATATATTAACTATAGTGTGCAACTGAAAAAAAATCATGGGCGTGCATTGGAGACAATTGAGAGATTTTTTTTTTCTTTTTAAATTTTTTAGAAAAAAAAAAGGCATAATTGTTATTGTAACTCCTCTTATTTGCATTTTGGAAAAACAAAATTCTATGACATAAATACCAACAACAGTGTTAGCTTATAATAAAACTAGAAGTTGTGGCCCACGTAATGCGTGTACATATAATTATTTTGTTTAAGAATAAGATTGTGAACTGTATGATTGAATTTAAAATTAAAAAATTGAAATGAATTTGAAAAAATCAAAAGTTGAGAGAAGCTAAAAAAAAAAAAAACTAAATTTAAGGCAAAAATGTCCATGTAAATACAATAATGCTAGGTATCATGAAAATAATGTCATGAAAAGTCTTCATGAAGATTCTCCACCATTGATTAGATTATAGTGTTTGTAGTGTTTTATTGTATGTTATGCATTCACCATTGGATTAGTTTCATGAAGTTTTTCATGATATTTACTTCATGATACGTAGCATTACTCATGTAAATATTATTGGAATATTTTGAGAAAATTAGACATTAGCATATTGGGGTCATGCGAATTGGGCAATATTATCCCCCCAGAGAGAGAGAGAGAGAGAGAGAGAGAGAGAGAAATCATACAGTCTTCATGAAGGTAAGCAAGGCCTTTGGCTGATCCCAGTGCAATACGCATCCTAGTTGCCCAGTCCATTGTTGGCAGACCTTGCCCTGCAGCAAAAAATTTGCTAAGTTTCGACAATTTATATTACAACGTTAATTCTATATTGTTCTTCCAAATAATGCTTTAGGATCCTTGAATGTTTTGTCCTCCATTATAGGTTTAATTTTTTGTAAATCCCAAATTTATTGAAAAAATAAGTTGGATAGATTGATATTTATATAAAAAAAAAAGAGAGACATTTTTCAAATTATGAGTTGCCATAATGTGTTTTTTAGTTTTAATAAATTGGCTAGAAGATGTAACATTGTTTTTATGATAATTCTCTACAAAAATTCAGTTTCTATAACATTACTTTTTATTATGTTTGAAAAATAATATTTATCACTTTTTGAATGTTATCATTTTTTTCATTTTCTTTCTATGTGGATCCAATCAATAACCATGTACATGCAAGACTCTTCATCTTTTAATTTATTTTTATAGCAATGTTAGATATCATGAAAAATCTTTCATGAAAATAATCATGAAAGTTTTGTGACCCTTGAATTACATTTAGAATAATACACTACACACTAATCAAGGCAATCCATGAATCATAATTCTTTCATGATCATTTTCATAATTTTTTTTTCATATTCCCTAACTTTTCTCTTATTTTTAATATAAACCATTAAAACACAATTCCATGACATATAGCAGTGTGAGAGAGAGTGCAGAGAAGTAACCATGAAGATGATGCTCCAAGGTGTTATTGGGAACAAACTCATACACCAACATCCTCTGTCCACCAGCAATACAGTACCCAACCAGCGACACCAGATGCCGGTGATGAACTCTACTGATGATTTCAACCTCCGCCTGAAACTCCCTCTCTCCTTGCCCACTTCCCACCTTTAGGCTCTTCACCGCCACCTCCTTCCCATTCGACAACACGCCTTTGTGCACGTACCCGAACCCGCCTTGTCCCAGCAAATTCGCCTGCGAAAACCCGCCCGTGGCTGCTGCTAGCTCGTCGTAGGAGAAACTGCTCTGGTTTACTCCCAGACCCATGTTTGGTGATTGAGGTGGGAGCGGTGTATGGTGGCTGGAGCTGAATTCACTGCTTGTGTTTGTGGGGCCTGGTGGTGGAGTTGGCGGCACAGCCCAACCGCTACCGCCGCCTGGTGGCGGAGGAAGCTTCATGACGTGGTCTTTGGGTGAGGGACTGTTCCATTTTGTTGGACCGTTGTAGTAATCACCTATTATCACAGTTGTTACAAGTTATGTAATGTTTAATGTATTGGAATGAAATAGTAATGAAGAAATATTTTTTAAGAATATTTATTTTATGTCTAGTTTATTTTTAAAAAATATATAAATAGATTCAAAAATGGAATCTATGACTAAATATAATTCTAAACATATAAGGCTTACCTAGATGATAAGTATTAAATTTTTAAATTTTTTATTATCAATTTTCTTTTAAAATTGGACTTCAAATTCCTTCATTTCAAATCTACATGAAATGGAATCAGAAGATCATTGACCCAATTATACTACAAAATTATTTATCAAATATAGAAATAACATTTCTATAATTAAATATCATTTTAATGACCACTCTGTTTTTAAAAATTTAATACAACAATCAAATTATTTTGCATAAAGCTTGTGGATTAGTAGTACCTTTAGGTCCAAGTGGAGGAGGATCCATATAGTACTCCTTTCTCTTCTTCTTCCTTACTAAGCAACATATACAAGAAGCGATCAGCATAGCAATAATCAGAACCCCAATCACAGCCACTACTACAACAAGTCCTGTACTATCTGAGGAAGATGATGAAGACGATGACGATGACCCACTAGAGCTTGAAGATGTATTTGAAGAAGGCGGCGATTTTCGTGATGTTGGAGGCGGAGGTGGAGAAGACACGGTGGAAGAAGAGCCATGTGGTGGTGGTGGCGAAGACCCTTGAGAAGGAATGGAGGAGGATGATGCTGGTGGTGGCGGTGATGATGAAGTATGTGGTGGTGGTGGTGATGGAGATGACTTTGGGGGTGGGGATTTGGCTGATGATGATGCCGGTGTTGTTGGTGGTGGTGGGGAAGGAGAAGATAGCGGGGGAGGGGTGGTGGTGGCTGTTGGTGGTGGTGGTGGTGATGATGATTGTGATGGTGGTGATGAGGATGGAGTTGAAGAAGAAGAAGATGATGATGAATTTGTGCTCTCTGAACTTGGGTTTGAATCTGGTGGCGGAGCAGTCACGGTGTCCTCCATGTCTCAATATAGCAACTTTCTTTTTCTTTTTCTTTTTTGTTGTTTTTTTTCCGGCGAAGATTTACGTCACAACACAAGCCGGAAACTCCACCTCCGCCGTAACTGCTCGCCGCAACAATTCAGGACCCTGAATAGAACCCACAAACGCCATGAAAATAGATTTACGTACAAAAAAAAAAAAAAAATCCATCACAATGGTGTAGGAGTAGAGCAAGGATCCTCTAGAGTTTTTTTTTCCTAAAGTTTTCTAGAGTGGTGTGTTGTATGGTTGAGATTTAATGACAAGTCACATCAATTTTTTAGCATTAAATCTCACCCATACAACACACCACTTTAGGAAACTTTAGGAAAAAAAAACTCTAGAGGATCCTTGGTGGTAGGAGTATTCTTCTTCAAACAGTATGTAACTGTCTAGAAAACTAACCGAGTAGGATAGGTATCATGAAAATAATATTATGAAAAGAGTAATATTAGGGATCATGAAGAAAATATCATGAAAGATTTTCTATCTTTAGATTACCCATATAATAACCAGCAATGCTAGGTATCATGAAAAGTCTTTCATGAAAATGGTTATGAAAGATTTGTGACCTTTGAATTACACTTACAATAAAACACTACACACTAATCAAGGTAATCTAAAGGTCACAAATTTTTCATGATCCTTTTCATGACAAAATTTTCATGATCTCTAACATTTCTCTATAATAAAACACCACACACTAATCACACACTAATCAAGGGATGAAAAATCTTCATGATGAATTTCATGATATATTTTTCATGATCCCTAGCATTATTGCTATGAAAATGATCACGAAAGGTTCTCCATCGTTAGATTATACATACAAGAAAATATCACACACTAATCAAAGGATAAAAAATCTTCATAAAATATTTCATGATATTTTTTTTATGATCCATAGTATTATTCAAACTAACTAGAATTCGCAATCAATGATCAATATTTATTCATGGTATGTTAAACAAGAAGAGAGTTAAATATCCACCATTGATTTGAAATTTTTCGTAAATTTTTGGTCACCGTTTTTGGGATTATATACTTATTTTCTTCTTCGTGAAATTATAAGTTAAGGGATTGTAAAAGACAAATTATTCTTTATGTGAATTATGTATAGAAATTTTGTTTATATTCCGTTGTTAATTTACATATTTATAAAGAAAATTAACAATCTAATCCAACAACATTGATCTATAAACAAAATTTTTATGTTAAAACTCAATTAGAATAATGTGATAATGATAATTTTAAAATTATAAGTCATAATAATGAATGTTTTAGTTTGAGATATATCATTCTATACATGAATTTTGCTGTATTTCATTGTTAATTTGCACCTCTATTTAGAACAAAGAATAAAGAAAATTAACAATTTAATCCTACGTTGTTGATTTACAAACATAATTTTTATATAAAAATTCAACAAGATTGATTTGATACTAATATTTTTGAAACTACAAGTCATAACAATAGATGTTTTAGTTTGAGATGAAAGTATCATAAAATGGGACATCATTTTGTAGGCGAATTTTGTAAAGAAATTCTGTTTTTGCATCTCATTTTTAATTTGCATCTCTATTTTGAACAAAGAATAAAAAAAATCAACAATCTAATCCAACATTATCGATTATAAATCATAACAATATATGTTTTAGCTTGAGATGAAATAATCATAAAATCGCAAATCATTCCTTAGGTGAATTCTATACATAAACTCCATTTGTACTTCTAATTTGCATCTCTATTTAGAACATAGAATAAAGAAAATTAACAACCTAATCCAACATCATTGAACTTAATTTGTATATAAAAATTCAACCAGAATAAAGTGACAACAATATTCTTAAAATTATAAGCCATAACAACAACAAATGTTTTATTTTGAGATAAAATGATCATAAAATGATCATAAACATAATTTGAATGTTTTATTTTGAGATAAAATGATCATAATATTCTATATCTGAATTGTATACAGAAATTATGTTTGTCTTTCATTGTTAATTTACATCCCTATTTAGAACAAATAATAAAGAAGATTAACAATCCAATCCAACATTAATGTTCATGAAATGTCATAAATCTAGGTTTGATCATGATTATATGTTGTTTAAATGAATTTGAGAATGAAGAAAAGGTTTCAGAGAGATACCTGGTTGGTGGAAGAAGAATAGGGTTATGGATGAAGAGAGAGAGACAGAGAGAGAAAAAAAACTTGTTGCATATTCTGATTTTTCTATCCTTTGAAAGGTGAACCCACCTTTCCACCAGTTGCCTCCTACAATGCAGGGCCTCTATTTCTCTCTCATTCTCTGGCCTTGGCCACCTCTACTTTTGGCTGAGTTGGTTATTCCTCCTCTCTTACCAGTTCCTGCTTGGCTGTCCTTTTACTTTCTCCACAATTTATAAAATTTTTGGACACAATTTTTTTACGAGTCCTGCTGGGGAGCAAGGATCCTCTAGAGTGATTTTTCTCTAAAGTTTCTTAAAGTGCTATATTGTGTGGTTGAGATTTACTGACAAGTCACATCAATTTTTCTGATATGACTTGCCAGTAAATCTCAACCACACAATGTAACACTTTAAGAAACTTTAAGGAAATTTCACTCTAGAGGATCTTTGGTGCTACTGGGGACCCCAGCAGGAGAAGACTGCCAATGGATGCTAACAAAAAAAAAAAAAAAAACTGTTTTGGACCAATCAAAAGGGACCCAGTAAGGGTCTCATGCATTTTCCTTTTTTTACTCATTGATCGTTAGGCTTGTCCTATATTATTGGGATGTCTTATGATGTCTTATTCATTTTGATTTTTACACATTAATTGGTAGACTTATCCTGCTTTAGGTTGAGTTGGATGTCTTATTCAATGATATTTCTTCCTCTTTTCTTGTTATTATCCTGTTGTAATTTTTTTTTTTTTTATTTAAATTTTTTTCTGCCCATAAAAAATAAACAAACAAAAACTTATCTTATATCAACTCTCCAAAAAGTCACTTCACTCATTGCCAAATTAGTTTTGAGTTAATTATTTAACATGACATCAGAGTTAAATTTTAGGTGGTCTTATTAAAACATTTTATAATATATTTATATATTTAAATATATATAATTTAGTTATATGAATTAAAAGAGAGATATGACTTTTGAATTTAAATCACAGGGTGTGACTATTGGATTTAAGCAAAGGGTGTCACTTTTAAATGTAAATGACACAACTCTTAATTCAAAAGACACAAACCTATATCTATATAAAGGTGAAAATGTTTGGCATTTGGAGATAGAATTTCCATGAATTTTCTCTAAGACTTCATATTTGTATTTTTCTTGTTCTACTTGGTGTGTTAAAAAAATTCAAAGATATTTTGCATTTGATTTGATTCGTGCATAATACAATCAGACATCAATCTTAGATCATTGTATTCTAGAGACAGATTAGCGAATAACTCGATGCACACCATATTTGATAGAATTGATGAGAATAAATTTCATCTTAAAAAAAATAATAATATTGTAACATGCCTTGAAACAATCTTAATTATTTTCTGTTTTATCTCATTCGACGTGGCACGGCATTAATCAACAAAAAAAAATAAAAATAAAAAATTAATCCATTACTTTATATTTTCTGCCCCTTTTTGTAAGAATGACACAACTCTTAATTCAAAGGACACAAACCTATATCTATATAAAGGTGAAAATGTTTGGCATTTGGAGATAGAATTTCCATGAATTTTCTCTAAGACTTCATATTTGTATTTTTCTGTTCTACTGGTGTGTTAAAAAAATTCAAAGATATTTTACATTTGATTTGATTCGTGCATAATACAATCAGACATCAGTCTTAGATCATTATATTCTAGAGACAGATTAGCGAATAACTCGATGCACACCATATTTGATAGAATTGATGAGAATAAATTTCATCTTAAAAAAAATAATAATATTGTAACATGCCTTGAAACAATTTTAATTATTTTCTGTTTTATCTCATTCGACGTGGCACGGCATTAATCAACAAAAAAAAATAAAAATAAAAAATTAATCCATTACTTTATATTTTCTGCCCCTTTTTGTAAGTGTACCTATCTTTATCTCTTTTGCAATTCATTCATGTTAACTTTTTGTGTAAGCACCAACTCATCTCCGAAATGAGGAATGTAGAGCCATAAAAAAAACAAAAAATATCTTCAAACCCCTAAAATATGATCGAATGAATTACTGGATAAAAAAATAAATACACTTTCCTTACATGATCTACTTTGGACGAGAGAACACCAAACACGCCAAACTCACCAAACTATTTTTCCTTTCACAAATCACATTACACGTAAAGATTCAGAGTAACACTTAAATTTGATAAAAAAAAGTGAACTTAACATTGTTGTAATTAACATTGTTGTGATTGAAAAATGAGGGGATAAAGTGAAATATTTATGAATGTTAGAGGTTTGACTAGTATAATTTATCATAAATTTCTTTCTAACACGTATATAGCTAGAATATTTTTATTAAATTTCTTCCGACACTAGGCAAAAAAAATCCTTGATTAATTTCATTAGCACAGTGCACTCATGAAATGATTGCTAACTTGAACATTTTTAAAACAAAAACATCAAAAACAGAACACCATCTCCTATTCAAATTATATATATTTTGCTAAGCAAGCAAAAGCAAAAGGATTCAGATCATCCCATTCAATTACATAGCAAAAGACTTAACATCGTGAAAGACTCAATAAGTCCTACATTCCAAGACTCAATAAGAAAGTGTGAGACGTACTAGTACTCAGGTGCCAACAACACGAGGCTATTCACATATGGCAAGTACCTCCCCCCGAAATCCTGTCTCCTGCTAATGACTTCAACTTTCTGTTCTCTAAGATGATAAGAATACACCACCATCCCAACTAAAATCATCACAACATCGTCGTTGACACAAGCCAAAGCTCGACACTGATGATGAGTTAATCCTCCCTGGTCACGTTCGATTTTCACAGCAATATTATGCTTCAGGCTCATCTCCATACCCGCATATATGGCTATTGCATAGTCATTCCCTTTCTGATAACGTGCCTGAACGTAACACAACTCCCCCTGCCTTTGAGCCAAAACTCCACCCTCTCCGCTGACACAAGGGAGCGGCAAAATTCCACAAATTTCATTTTTCATATCAAAGGCAAGTACATTACCTGATGAAGTTTCCCAATATACCATTCCCTTCATGTAAAACCCACCTTTCAGCGTGGTCAATTCACCCAGTTCAATGCAGCTCGCAGTAGAGCATCTCCAAGACCTTTTCTCTGAAGAGTAAATTTCAAAATAAACTATTGGGACGTCAATTAAAGGGAAGGCACAAATGAGCTCGAAATGAGCTGCAATGTTGAGCTCCCAGGGTTCAAAGGCTAGTACAATGGCCGGTTCAGACTGATGGTAGTAATTTGGCCTGGGAAGTACCCTCCATTCCTTGTTCACTGGGTTGCAAATGTAGTAAACATTTTCTCCATCATGGCCTTGGCATAGAAGCAATCCATTGCAGGAGCTTCGAATTACAGTGGGTTCTGGCAAGAACTCGAGGGAGGTGCTAGGAATCCCGTAAGCATGTTGATCGAGTGTTATGAAAGTGGGAGTGCAGTCGCCAGGCTGACAGAAGAATCCAGATACTTTCTGGAAAGAATAACTTTGCGCATGGGCTAGAAAGGGACTACTGATCCATTTATCCCAGTCCTTGGAAATGGTTCTGAACCTGATGAGCGATTTGGCAGGAAGAAAAGGAAGGACATGGTTCTTCACAACATCTTTAATCTCTGTGTCCTTGCGCTTGACGTGTGCAGGAAATTCAAACAGGGTGGGATTTACTTTCCCATAAGCAAGAACTCTGTCAAACTGCAATTCAATCTGGCATAATATCATAATTTTTTTTTAAAACTACCCCACATGATCACAAATTTATTGTCCACTCGTACAGCTTTCTAACACAATCATAAGAGAAGCTTTTAGAAAAAACCAAGCTACAAAGCAACAGAAACATGAACAATTGAAAGTAATTAATTTAGTAAAAATGGTGTGTGGACATGTCTTCAACTATTTAATCAAACATTTTGTTGCTTCAAAAACAGATTAAAAAACAGAGTAATGGTGCCAATTCTGACAAATGAGTTTCCTTCCCTTCAATGTAAACTTATATCCCTATAATTGTGAGATAACAAGAAGATGCTGACTTGTCAGTATGCAAGATTAAAAGTTAATTTCCATAGACACACAGAAAAAACCACTTGGTTGAAACATAATCTACATGAGAGATCTTCGTTCAGCTAAGAGGCAACAAAGGGACAGGTACTAATAACTAATAACTTGTGTAATACACACAGATATGACACAATCTATGCTAAATACAAAATGGTGCCATCATCAATAACAACAACAACAATATAAGCAGATTAACTCGACATATCTCGCTTAAGGGGTGGGTATTACAGAGAAATCCATGCCCATGAAGGTAAAATCCAAAGGTTGATCTCACAGGAAAGAGAAACAAATCAGATGGCACAATACGATGCATCAATTTACAATGTCAGGCGTATGATCTCCAGACACAAGAGGCGAAGAAATCTACATTAAAAAAATTACTTGAACGAAATAAAAAAGCTCCCAAAAGGTCAGGCATTTCACAATTTAAACAAGCACTTAAAATAGTGGTAGACACAAGAAGGAAAGAATACTTAATTAAATGGTAATAGAATCGTCTAATATAAATTAGTGACTGAAGTTCTTTATCTCATATTAAGCTGTATCCCCACCCATTTCAATGTCGTTGTCCTAGCAAGCAGGACAATAAACCCCCACCACACAATCACTTCAATTATAATAGGTGATGAATAGCACAATTACATCTAATATCAGAGATTACAAACAGGAGAAAGAGAAGCGCTCACAATTTCAGCTGTGGGATTAATTGTTTTAAACTTATTTTAGGTTCTGTTTGCTTAATTATTAAGTGGGATGATATTTATTCTTCTATATTCCAAACGACCAGGACATGTGTATCATTCCAAATGTCCTTTCACAATCTTGCTTCCACAAGGACCAAAACATGATCATTTTATTTCCACTTATTCTGAGATGCAGAAGGCTAACATTGACTCCATAAAATTGTCACCCACATCTAATTAAACTTTGGAAATTATATATATCTCAATTTAAAAATAAAAGTAAAAAAGTTTAGAAAGAATACCATGTCAGTCTCATCATCACTCGAGGAGGCTTCAGACTCTAATTCATTCTTCTGAGATTTGCTTTCTGCAGACGAGTCTTCTTTATCAGAATCAATAGAGCTCAAGCAGAACTCTTTCCAGCTTTCATTCTTCCGAGATTTAATTTCATCAGACGAGTCTTCTTTATCAGAATCAGTTGGGATGATGAAGAACTCTTTCCAACTAACCATGTCATAGGAGTCATCATCATCATCGGCGTATTCCATTTTGTTGTCCTCAAACTGTGCCATTATGCTACGATCAGAACTAACATTGGTTAGTGAAATAAAATTATAGTTTGATTTATTAACTGCATAAAGCTTTAGTTGAATATGACTTTCATGTAATTTACAAAAACATTATCGAAGAAACCTGCTTAATTTGTCCCAAATTTTAATAGCCATACGGCCATACTCTGCATACACACTTCTTTCCCATACAAAAGATAATATTGGATGTCCCTGAAGGGATGATACAAAACAGAACATGAAACAGTAAGTTTCATGGGTTTCTTACAAAATGGCTTGGTATCTTTAAACCCATGTCATGATTAAACCTAATAATTTTTTCACAAAAAGAAATTTTTTAATTATAAACTTTGAAGATTTTACAAGTAGTATCAAGAAGATCAAATTCAAAAAAAAGACAGCAAAAATAGAACAATATGATTATTCTAATAGACAAGCACAGATAAAAAATAGCAAATTAAAAGTAAAATATCAACAATCCCTCCCACAATTTCATCACTTTATATGAACAAGACTACATCAATCAAACATATGAACATTTTAAAGAAGGGAAACTCCAAGACACCTCCAATTCTCTGACAGAACACCAGATCCTATTATTGAAGGAGAGATTCAAACATTAACACGCCATTTCCAACCCTATATTACAAGCTTGATTTTCTTATCTACCCATCAACAAGAATAACTTAACACAACAGAAGGGGGAAGACTCAAGACTTCAAAGTCAACACACAGTTGTAAAGCCCAACTCTTCTTAATTATTACCGAAAAGATAGTGTGTACAGTGTATGATTACTATATGATAATTTTGGCATATATTCCTATAGCTTACGAAGTAAGCAACCACTAATTGTCATTAATTTTAATAAACTCACCAATAAGAAGAAAACGACTCGTACAAAGAACTTTAGAGAAAAAAAAAAAAAAAAAAAAGATATATTAATACATATGAATCCAAGAAAATGAAGTAACTTGCTGAGAAGACCCAAGAAAATAGATTTTCGAAAATGATATATTTTAATAAAAAAAAAAAAAATCCTAAAACTCAGAAACCTTCAAAAGTCGAAATTGATCTTCGAAGAAGCCACGAAAACTTTTCCATGAATCTGTAATGGTAATCCTACAGATTCAACGGCGAAATAACAGAAGAAACCCATATGAAAAAATTGCAAATGGACAGAGAAAAATCCTAGATTGTACCCACAAAACACCCTAGATTAAAATGAAACAAGAGACGATCATAGACATAAAGACGATCAAAAACTCACCAGTGAAGTGATGGTATCTATCACTATCAACTCTGCTAAATACTTTGAAACACCAATGATCAGAAACGATACATGTAGAGAGAGAGAGGGCTTGTGATTGTTGTGTGCTTAGATTGCAACGTTTGAAGAGGAATTGGTAACGTCGTGCCTGTATTTATGTACCATAAAAGAAATATTTTAAAACAAATTATGAAAATTCTTCACATTTTGAATTTTTTTTTTTTTAAAGACGATAATTCTTCATAATATTTGTTTCGTGTGCTTCGGGTGGACACGTGTTTAATGTTGATTTGTGTGACTTGCTAGTCATTTTTTATTTTTTTATTTTGTTTAGAGAAGACTTTTATAGTCTTTGAGGTTAAGAAATCAAGAAAAGATTTTTGGAATTAGTTATTGCCAAAATAATTAGGGTGCTGTTATGGTGTGTAACCCCTTAAAGTTGTACACTATATGCAATCAATACAAAAGATATAAATAGAAGGTGTAAACATAAAACAGGATAACAAACAGAAAGACGTAAGTGTAAGGTGTAAATTACGCACTTAAGAAAAGTCCAAATAATTATTTCAATTTTTATTGAAATACTTATTTTGTCCTGTCCGTTTATCCCTGCTTTGAAAACTTTACCCATTAAGGGATTTTGAGAAGTTGCCAAAAAAAAAATCAATTTTTTTGCTTTTTAATTTTTTTAGTCAAGACTTGGCCTAATAACCTTAGGCCATGTTTGTTTGGACGGACTGGATTAGCATTCCCATGACTAATAGTCCTAGGACTACGAATCCGTTGGATTATGTATCCTATCTTAACTAATAGTCAAGTTTAAAATAATTAGTCCGTACTTCAATTGTTTAACCAAACATCGGATTAATAATTTTATTGGACTATTAGTCCAATCCCAAACTCATCCTCCAATTCTCTGACAGAACACCAGATCCTATTATTGAAGGAGAGATTCAAACATTAACAGGCCATTTCCAACCCTATATTACAAGCTTGATTTTCTTATCTACCCATCAACAAGAATAACTTAACACAACAGAAGGGGAAGACTCAAGACTTCAAAGTCAACACATAGTTGTAAAGCCCAACTCTTCTTAATTATTACCGAAAAGATAGTGTGTACAGTGTATGATTACTATATGATAATTTTGGCATATATTCCTATACAGAGTAGCTTACGAAGTAAGCAACCACTAATTGTCATTAATTTTAATAAACTCACCAATAAGAAGAAAACGACTCGTACAATGATCTATAGAGAAAAAAAAAAAAAAAAAAAAAAGAAAGATATATTAATACATATGAATCCAAGAAAATGAAGTAACTTGCTGAGAAGACCCAAGAAAATATATTTTAATAAAAATAAAAAAAAAAAATCCTAAAACTCAGAAACCTTCAAAAGTCGAAATTGATCTTCGAAGAAGCCACGAAAACTTTTCCATGAATCTGTAATGGTAATCCTACAGATTCAACGGCGAAATAACAGAAGAAACCCATATGAAAAAATTGCAAATGGACAGAGAAAAATCCTAGATTGTACCCACAAAACACCCTAGATTAAAATGAAACAAGAGACGATCATAGACATAAAGACGATCAAAAACTCACCAGTGAAGTGATGGTATCTATCACTATCAACTCTGCTAAATACTTTGAAACACCAATGATCAGAAACGATCCATGTAGAGAGAGAGAGGGCTTGTGATTGTTGTGTGCTTAGATTGCAACGTTTGAAGAGGAATTGGTAACGTCGTGCCTGTATTTATGTACCATAAAAGAAATATTTTAAAACAAATTATGAAAATTCTTCACATTTTGAATTTTTTTTTGGGCAAATTACATATACACCCCTCGAAGTTTGGCTAAATTATAAATATCCCTGAGGTTTGAGAAATTACAAATTCCTCCCTGAATGTTATATTTGCATAAGAAATTAGGGGGTAATTTGTTATGAAATATAAACCTCAGGGGATAAATTGTTATGAAAATACAAACCTCAGGGGGCGAGATGTAATTTCCGAAAACTCAGGGATATTTGTAATTTAACCAAACCTCAAGGGGTGTATATGTAATTTGCCCTTTTTTTTTAAAGACGATAATTCTTCATAATGTTTGTTTCGTGTGCTTCGGGTGGACACGTGTTTAATGTTGATTTGTGTGACTTGCTAGTCATTTTTTATTTTTTTATTTTGTTTAGAGAAGACTTTTATAGTCTTTGAGGTTAAGAAATCAAGAAAAGATTTTTGGAATTAGTTATTATCAAAATAATTAGGGTGTTGTTATGGTGTGCAACTCCTTAAGGTTGCACACTATATGCAACCAACACAAAAGGTATAAGTAGAAGGTATAAACATAAAACAGGACAACAAATAAAAAGACGTAAGTGTAAAGTGTAAGTTGCACACTTAAGAAAAGTCCAAATAATTATTACAATTTTTATTGAAATACTTATTTTGTCCTGCTTTGAAAACTTTACCCATTAAGGGATTTTGAGAAGTTGCCAAAAAAAAAATCAATTTTTTTGCTTTTTAATTTTTTTAGTCAAAAAATTAGTTTTTTTTACTCAAAATAACTCAGTTTTTTTTGTCAAAAAAGTCATTAAAAAAGTTTAAAAAATTAAAAAATTAATTTTTTATCAACTTTTCAAAGCACCACAAATTTCATGAGGAATTGTACTCTATGCAATCTTATGAGATTTCTTATGAATTGATTAATTTCATTGATTTTGATCAAGTGAATTTAATATAGAGTGATTTTATTTACATCACCAATTTATCTTTTTTATATTCTTTATCTTATTATCTCATTAAAAAAAATGTGATTCTCATTACACTCGTTATAATATTAAAACTAATCCAAAACTAAAAACTTTTCAAAAATCTTTTAATGTAGTCTCTTTACACCGATAGCTTTAGTAATGAGTAATGCTAAAGATTCTAAAATTTTACCAAATATCTCACATGGGTGTGGAATCCACATAATGTAGGTTCTATGTGATCCTACACCTATGTGAGACATCTGGTAGAATTTTTAGAATCTCTAGTATTTTTGTTTAGTAATACAATGCTAAAGAATTTGAATTACTCCAGGACCGTGTTACTAGACAAATTATTTTTTTTCAATCATTTGTTACCGTTTAATTAGATGATTTTACTTTATTTTAATAGAAAATTAGTTGGAGCCCATTTATAAAGTGTCTAATTGGTGATGTATTGTTATACAAATTAGATTACTCCAGTGTCATGTTGCCAAACTAAAATAAATTTGTCCAGCCACCTATCGCTTTACGTGCGTTGTAAATTGTCTTCATTGTTGTCGCATTAAAGGCATCTATTCGTTTCAATGTAATCGATATTTCTTTTGGTCGCATCATACTCTCTGACATGTCAACTAATAAGGATGTTTCCTTCTCAAATAATCTATCAGCAAATGAGTGTCATTCAAGATGTTCAGAAACTAGATGATTGTACTTGTATTGTTGCAATATATAGAAGCATAATCATTCCAAACAAAAAAATATAAAATATAAAACAAAATGAAACTAGAAACACACGGTAATGAGTAATGAAACAAATTAAAAACGTTCGGCCTTGGGTTATTGGAAATGTATCTTTTAATCGGCAGTGGGTTACCGAACATATATTTTTGTTCGGTAATGTAATTCCAGACTATTTTATTTTGTTTAATTTTGACATGACGAACAAAAGTCGAAGAACTCTCTCAAAAAGCGAAACAAAAACTTACCAAACAAATAAAAAAACTCACCATCTTACTTTTTTGATGGTTTTTCACCATTATTTCTTCATCTATTACTTTCTTCTATGATCAAAATATTATGATTCTCACTTTTTGAATTGAGATATGTAGCAAAGAAGAAAAATTGCAAAGAGAAGAAGAGCAGTAGAGATTGAAAAGTAATATCTATAAAGAGATAATAAAATATATTTAATTTTAGTTTTTTGTCTTTAAAAGTAATTTCATACATGGATAAAATTGAAAAAAAAAAAACCTCATATGGAAAGTGTGAAGAGATAAATTAGAAAAATTCTATTTTCATACACAAAGTTCTCTCACTCCATACACTTAATGAAAAAAAAAAAAACAATTAATTACATTTTTATCTTAAAATAAAAATACCAAAATATCCTTTTATCTTCTACATCCAAAACCCTAATTTCCAAGCCACTCAAAAATTTCTAACCCTAACTAGTAGCTGCACCACCGCCGACCTCCTCCCTTGACCGCCTCAGTAGGGGTATGAATTCAAGATTGGGTTACAAGTAACTGTTGGATTTAGTTTCTAGTGTGGCCTAATAGCCTACATATTTTTACATGTTTTATTTTATTTGGACTCCACAATTAGATAAAGCCAATATTTGAGATCAAATTCAGTAATTAGAATTTTAATATAATTACTCTTCTAAGATATAAGAAAGAAACCTTGATGGATTAGGAATTCTTCTGATAGAGTTTGTCTGGCCCTCTTCTTTCCTCTATATAAGGATGGGTGACTCGCT